CGGGGCCTGCCGCGGCCCCCTGCCCCCCCTCCAAGGGGTCCTCAGGGCTGCGCGTCCTCTACCCCGGTCCCCCGCGCGGTGGTGCCCTCCCCCACCCCAGCCCTTTCCCCGCGGTCCCACGGGGAAGGACCCCCTGCTGGCCCCCCTGCAGTCTTCTGGGATGGGTGTCCCACACCGGCAGTTCCCGGTGGAATGGTGGCTCCCCCTCTCCCTTCGTACCACAGCCCTCTTCTCCTTCCCCGCGGTGCTCGATGGTTCCCAGCCCCCCGGGGCGGGGGGTGTGGTGGTGACCAGGAACAGGGCCTAATGTTTTTCTTCTCTCTCCCCATTTTAGCAAACATGTCCTGACCGAAGACATTGTGCACCGGGAGGTGACGGCGGACCACAAGCTGCTCTCCCGGCGGCTTCTGACCAAGACCAACCGGATGCCGCGCTGGGCAGAGCGCTTCTTCCCAGCCAATGTCGCCCACTCCGTCTACATCCTGGAGGACTCTATTGTGGACCCCAAGAACCGAACCATGACCACGTTCACCTGGAACATCAACCATGCGCGTCTCATGGTAGGTGCCCGCGGGCGAGTGCGGGGCTGGGTGGCAGGTGCCGGGCAGCGCCCACAGCAAGGTTGTGCCCCGTGCAGGTGGTGGAGGAGCGCTGCGTGTACCGGGTGAACCCAGAGAACAGCAACTGGACTGAAGTCAAGCGGGAAGCCTGGGTCTCTTCGAGCCTGTTTGGCGTCTCGCGGGCTGTCCAGGCAAGTACTGCCCACTGCTCAAGCAGTGCTGTGTACCCCCTCTTTGAAGAGGCCTTAAATCTGCTCCTCCCCCCTGCTCTGCCCCTTCCCTGTGCTGTTTTTTCCACCATTTCCCCTCATTCCCCCCATCCTCATGAGCCCTTGGGGCACCTGAAACCATCACTGCTGGGGGGCACAAGCCCGCCAGATGTTTGGGACTGGTCAAGCAGGGACAAAGCCCCAGGGACTGTGTGTGGCCAAGGAACTGGGCTTACACCTTCACTGACTTTTCCCTTGCAGGAGTTTGGTCTGGCCAGGTTCAAAAGCAATGTGACCAAGAGCACCAAGGGATTTGAATACGTGCTAGCAAGAATGCAAGGTAAGCACCCAAGGGCAGGCTGGGGCTGACTGGGACAGGTCTCTTGGAGTTACAGGTCACACTGGGAACACTCCAGTCCACGGGCAGGTCATGGCTTGAACTAATCCAACTGTGAAATCCTCATCTCTTGCCTTTGCCCCCGTGTCTTGGCACAGCCTGCTCTTCCCGAGTGGAGTGGCCAGGCAGCACTTACAGGGCCGGGCAGGGGCGGAGCACAGGCAAGAGCGGGATGTGTCGCGGCAGCAGTCACGTGCCTGCAGTTTGCCTTCGTGACGTGCCCTGCTGCACGCAAGCCAGGCGTGCTGGGCTCTTCTTCCTCCTTGCATGGGGAAGTCGCCTCCGTGCCAAGGTGGCGGGGCCAGCCTGGCTTGCGTCAGCCGGCATGCCTGGGCCAGGGCAGGGCGGGAGCCAGGTTAACCACTTCCATGTTACAGGAGAAGCTCCGTCCAAAACACTGGTGGAGACAGCCAAGGAAGCAACTGAGAAAGCCAAGGAGACAGCTCTGGCAGCTACAGAGAAAGCCAAGGACTTGGCGAGCAAGGCAGCCACCAAGAAGAAGCAGTACGTGTGAGGGGCCGGGCACAGGCTGCACCAGAACAGATAGGAGCCTCCTTAGATTTTATATTTTTAAACAAACTGTACAAGTCTGACAATCAGCTGCTGTTAGACCCTTTCTGAGATGTAATTATCATTAAAAAAAATTTACTCCCACCTTTGACTTGGCCTGGGGCTGGCCTGGTTAGAGCAGAGCCCAGTGCTGCCCTTCGCTCTGGGGCTCCAGCCTGCTGCTGGGGGTCTGGGCTCGCAGGCAAGATGCTGGCGGGGGTTTCACCAAGTGCCTTTACTAGAATAGTGTCAAGTATGTACAAGAGAGGGGGGGGTGGCTGCGGGAGGGCGAAGGCAGGTCGCTTAATGCACTCATTACTCCTTCCTGGCTCTCCAGGGGCAGCAGAGCCCTCCTGGAGCCATGTCTGCTGGGGGTGGCACTGCCCCACACCCGTGCCAGGCAACCCCCAGCCTGCCTGGGGGTGGTGGGAAGGTGTCCCCATGACATCCAGGCCCTCTTCCAGTGCATTGTGGGTGCCACAGTGCTGTGCCAGCCCTGTGGCCGGTGCTGCTCAGCAGCCTGACAGCAGGGAAGGGATGGCCCCAAGCCGGGTGCTTGCCCCCACCCGTGGCCCTTTACCAAGG